GACTCTTAGAATCTAAGTGCCTCACTATTTTAGCAACTTCCTTCCCATCTGGGTCACTGATGGCAAGAGACTATGGCCAGATGTCCCTGAGGATTGATTTTTAGTAGCAAAGAACTAATCTGAAATAACATAATTTAAAAAACAGGAATTTTATAGGTTTTTTTGGTAACTAATATTCTTTATCATGGCTCTGTTTTTGTTTTTGTTTGGATTTTACTTGCATGGAATGAAGAGAGATGAGAGGGGTTGAAAAGTATATCTTAACATAATTTAGTGCAAAAGAGCTAGTTGTGTCTGTCTTTCTTAATCAAGTAAGTACATTAGGACAGGACATGGACAGTGAATATTAATGATAGAAACTTCAGGGTGAGTTCTTTCAAATATCACTTTCAAACAGAAAAACTGTTGACTGTGGCATTGAACTTAATCAATGTTGATTGATAGTTTTTAAGGACCAAGTAGAAGTTGCAAACTGCAGGACATGAGCAGTGAGCATAAATTTTTAACTGAAGAGGACAGAGTTGAGTTTTGCCTATAGTAAGTCCCCAATTCATACACAAAAATATTAATTATTGTAGTCTTTCTGACATATCTATTATATCATATACAGAAGGTCAATGCTGAAGGCAGTGACATTTTCAGTATTTAAAAAGAGCATTTTTAATAAAAAAAAACTAATATAAAATAAAATAAAAAGAAGAAGAAGAAAAGAAAAGCACCACTAAAACTTAAATTCATAAGTATACAAATGTCAGGAATTTCACATTTCTGGTGCCCACGATAACTGTAATTTGGTCCCATTGTGCATATATAATAATTCAGAGTTAAGTGCATATTTGGTAATATGAAATGTTACATATGCTCAAGGAGAGAAAAGTTATGGTTGCTGTGGGAAACAGAACTCTGAATTTCCCGATTTTTGTGTTGTAAAATCTCAGCCATCAGGTTGCATTAGCATCATTTTCTACATTTAATAATAGATTGCTCCATTGTTGCTTTCAAGAGAGAAAGGCTTTTTCCCCCTTCTCCTAATATATTTAAAGTGATGGGATTTATTTTAAATTGAATTAACTAGAAAACACAGGTTCTTTATCAGATATAAGTGACAAGCAATAAGCCTGCATCTTGCCTCTAATTAAACAATTTAATCAAAATAGTAGTTAAAGGGTTCTTAATTTTTTAAATATGAAATATATATTAACCGGGCTGACAGACGTAAAACCTATACTTGATCTTGCTCAAAAGATATTTAAGCATATTATTTAAAATTTTTTTTCACAGGAAACCTTTTCCCTTAATAGGTACCTATAATGCCTGACTCTGCAGTTAATAAGTAGCATCGTCTGATTTTCCTCTATAAGGGAGTCTGATATGGCTGTGATTGCATTTCGAATCATCTCCATCATTTTCTTTATTCTGAAAAAATTCTTTATTTTTTCTACGTTGAGGAAACTGGGACTTACAAAGGTTAAATAAACCACTCACAGTCAGAGAAAAAAGCTGTGATTGAACAGAGATGGGTTCAAGTGATCCTAAAATCCATGCACTTTCTATTACACCTCATAGCTCCTGGCCTGCCTTCTTGTACTTGATCTGACTCAAGTACCTACACCCACTATGGGCAGATAATAGTAATGCTGATTGATGATCATCATCACATGCAAAGCCTTAGTAACATTGATAACAATGAACTGGTGTGGCATCAGTATGGAAGAAGGTGGGAAGTTTGGAGGCTTAATACCTACACTGGAGCAGCGTTAAAGGAGGAAGAGCCGGTCTATTTTGTACTGTGACAATGGATTGTCATGGCATGGGCATAGCTTGAATCGCAGTGGGTTTACTATGTACCAGGTGCCATTCCAAGCACTTTACAACAACCCATCTAATTCTCATGGCAGTGCTATCATGCAGTGATTATTATTATCCCAACTTTATGTATTAGAACTTTGAAGCACAGAGAAGTTATGTAACATACTTAAGTTCCCATAGCTATTAAGTGGTAGAATTCGAATGTGAACCAGGATGCTTGGCTTCAAAGTTGGTACTCTCAACCTCTATGGACAAAGATGAGAGTATTGTGAAGGGGACAAGTATATGTCTTATCTCTTTGTGCTTGATAAGTTATATAACTCACCACAAAGCACTTTGGTACTGCCTCAAGATAATAGAAGATCTTGAAAGAAAAAAAAAATCACAAGCTAATTTTGACACCCCTCCCATTCCCACCTATAAAAATCAGTGTTTTAAAATATCAAATTTTGAGTCTTTCTACTGATGGTAATTCGATAAGTTATTACCAAACCACTTTTATAAACACTTGTTTTTAAAAGCCTAATAGCTCATCTATGTCTCTCACAGTGAACTTGACTATACATTTTTTGATTCTGCTTTCCTAGAGATTGTGACCACCCTGTCAACATATCATTAAAACAAGCTATTACATGTCTTAATTGGAATACTTCCTCATGCCTCAGCCTTCCCTTCTACAAGTTTAAAAGCCCCCATGGATTTTCTGCTTCCGCAGTGAGACATATATTGCAGAGATGTTCCCGAGTACTAGAAAAAGATGACAGTAAATCAAGCAATATACTCAATATATTATTATCTGAGCACTAAAAAAGTTATTTTCTTCCTTAAATACACAAATTCATCAAATCCTGGAAAGCAGGAAGGGAGAAATAAGACTTCTTTTCTTTTTTTCTTAATTTTTAAATTCTGAAAAAGACCGCCCCTACCCCCTGCCTTGCACCCTCCCAAATTTTTCAATTCATCATTTGAATTAACCTCCTAAGCACTGAAGCCATCAGATAGCTAAGGCACTATCTGGTCCATCGGAGGAGCCCAGGCGCTCAGGCGAGACAGCGCTGAGCAGGAAGCACAGGGCCTCTGCTGTGTGGGCTTTGATAAGCGGAGCAGAGCCTCCTGCAGACACTGCAAAGCAATTAAAACCCGCAAAAGGGCTTCTCCCCCCTCCCACCTCTTTTCCTCTTTCTTCTTCCTCCAAAGTTGAATAAAAATGATTTGATAAATTATTCTTTTCAGAGTTAGCCACTTGAGAAAAAGAGAGAGAGAGAGAGAGAAGGAAAGGGGGTGAAAAAAAAAGAAAGTCGCTCTTGAGAACTCATTATTAGCATGAATTCCCAGCACTCTGGCAATTATTACAGATCCACACAAGAAGGAAGGCAATGGAATAAAAGGACAGAAGGGAGTTTATCTCAAGGCATGCAGGAAAGAGGGAACTGTTCTCCATAGACTCAGAGCCTGGTTTGCATTAGAGGCCCTGGTAAGCCTCGTGTCTTTGAAAGGCAAACCTCAGACCCTGAGAGTTAGCTCTAATCTTGAATGGAAGGAATAAACCTCTGTAGTCTCCACTAAGACAAAAGGTGGTCCCTGAAACCTGCCTAGAGAGTATCTTCACAGTAGGGGAGACTTGCATTTGGAGGTAAAAAACCAAGAGCCTCCTTATGAGCAAAAGGAAAGAAGGCCCTAGAGAGTTTAGGAGAAATTCTGGGGAGTGCTATAAACTTCCAGGCAAAAAGATCAAAACACCAGGGAAATTGGGGAAAGGAAAAATAAGAATTTAGATATTGATTAGGGCACACATTTGGAAGGTGCTCAATACAGGTATAGTTGACTCCGGAACAATGTGAAGGTAGGGGTGCTGGCCTCCCTACACAGTTGAAAATCTCCATGTAACATTGGACTCCTCTAAAATTCACTATTCGCAGCCTACTGTTGGCCAGAAACCTTACTGACAACATAAACAGTTGATTAACACATATTTTGTATGTCTTATGTATACTGTAGTGTATTCTTATAACAAAGCAAGCCAGAGAAAAGAAAATGGTATTAAGAAAACCACAAGGAAGGGACACCAGGGTAACTCAGTCAGTTGAGCATCTAGCTTCTAATTCTGGCTCAGGTAATGATCTCAGGTTTGTAATAGGATTGAGCCCCAAGTCAGGCTCTAAGCTGAGTATGGAGCCTGCTTAAAATCTCTCTCTCTCTCTCTCTCTCTCTCTCTCTCTCCCCCCACCCTGCTCCCAGTGTCTCCCTCCCCGACTTGTGCACCCTCTCTCTCTTCATCTCCCTCAAATAAAAAAAGAGAAAAGAAAGGGGTGCCTGGGTGGATCAGTCAGTTAAGCATCCAACTTCGGCTCTGGTCATGATCTCATGGTTCATGGGTTCAAGCCCCATGTCGGGCTCTTTGCTGACAGCTCAGAGCCTGGACCCTGCTTTGGATTCTGTGTCTCCCTCTCTCCCTGCCCCTCTCTGCTTCAAGTTCTGTCTCAAAAATAAATAAACATTTAAAAAAAGAAAAGAAACACTAAGGAAGAGAGGATACATTTATACTACTGTGTTGTATCTATAGAAAAAAAATCCACATGTAAGTCAACTCCTGCAGTTTGAACGCTTGTTGTTCAAGGGTCAACTGATTTTGCACAATTGAATAACTTTCTTGTGACCATCCTGTCAACATATCATTAAAACAACCTATTACATGTCTTAATTGGAATACTTTCTCATGCCTCAGCCTTCCTTTCTAAAAGCTTAAATGCCCCCATGGATTTTTATTTCTTAAAATATGCATATAGTAAAGCTATATTTATGCAGTCTCTATGGTGTGAAGACGAAGCAGTAGGGTGTCAGATTCCAAAAGTACTAGAAATATCATAACAATCACTGAAATCACTGGTCATAGTTGAGGAGATGAAAAGCTAAGGATTAAAATTCCCCTGATTTCTGCAAGAGAACACGGAGGACAATTTTTAGATTCTAATCTTAACTCAGTGGGCAGGCAGACTGACGGATCACTGATGGATTTCTAACTGCAACTGTTAGAAATTTTGATTCATTTTGATTCATAAATATCTGACATAAAAGCAAATGACAACTGTCATGTGACAATTATGACATATGACATTATGGCATTGTGGCATAAAAAAGAAACTTTCCCCCAAGCATTTCTTCTCCCTGTCCTCAGTCATGCCTCACATCACCAACCCAGCTACTCCTCTGTACTTGAGGCAAATAAAAAATTAGAATCATATTGCTTTCTCTGGCCCAATGGGACTCTGGCACTTTGAGAAATGGTTTCACCAAATTTTGAAGTGTGAGAGCAGCATGCTACGAAATAGCCTGAATGAAGTTAATGTGGGCAAAGAGCAAAACAGAGGTAAGGAACGTCAATGACAGAATGCAATGGGGGAAGTCCAGGGCAGAAAGAAATGGAGATACATAATCAAAGATTCTTCTTTTTTACAGTGGAAAGTGATTTCTTCTAGATCTCCAAGTTAAGCAGACTTCTGATCCTTCTTGAAGAGTGTTATTTTTCCCAGCTCCTTACCACATACAGTCAACCAATCATGATTGATTCTGCCACTAGAATACTTGTAATATCAAGGTCAGTAAAAGAAGCAGTTAAGTTAAACGTCAGCTGAGTGTCACTACCCTTGCTAGGCATTAGGCTATAGACATGCATATAACACTGGAGCTTTCTTAAGGAACCATTAGCCTAATTAAAAACTTGCATCTACAAATAAGAAATTTTAGTATATAAGGTAGGGTTGATGTTCACAAGGGCGGCATCTAACCCAGACCAGAAAAGGTATAGAAGAGGAAGACAAAGACTTCTTGGAAGAGATGACATTCTAAATGTTGAAAATGATGTAAGGCACAAAGAGCATTTCATATTAGGTGAGCAGAAGAAGTAGAAGTTTATAAGTATGCAATAACACAACACAACTGGGAACCACAGTAAAGTTTTGGAAAGTTCAAAGTATGAGAATAGACAGCTAAACAGGCCAGATTACAGAGTAAAATCTCTGTACTTGGAGATGACCTTGACTTATATATCACTTCCATTCATTATCCCATTGCTTGGAGCTTAGTCAAAGGGCTAGATGTATCTTAAAGGGATGCTGGGAAATGTAGAATAGTGAAGTAGTCAGTGTTCCAGGAACAAGAGAAAGACTGATGTTAAGAGCACAATAGGCAGTCCACAATATATTTTATTCTACTGACTATAGATAGCTCTCAAAGGGTCTAAATGTGGATATGTTTTAACTAAATTTAAGCCCAGAGAAAATATTCTTGGAGAAATATAGAGAATGCATCACAAAGTACAATGGAATTAGAGAAGCCAGCTAGCAGAACGACTGCAGCGCCGTTAGAATTCTGATGGAGGTGGCAAGACTGTGACTTAGAGTTGAGATTAAGTTCATTTGATGAAAATAAAAGGAGTCATCTTTTGTATGCTTTGTTGACTAAAATTTATCCTTGCCATATGTGTCGTGTCTCCATTATTTCAAATTCAATCAGTGAGAGATCCAGGCAAAGACAACAACTTATGTAAAAACCTAGATAAGAGACAGAGAGAATGATTGGTATCAAAGGTGGAAAGGTTTGCTAGCCTGTGCAGCTAGGGTTTGGTGAGCAAAGGCACAAGAGTGGTAGGAGGGTTATAGATTTTGCAGCCTCCCTTAGGCAATGCTACAGATAAAGGACTTTATTAGGTCAGGCACAACCACTGCACAAGTATAAACAAAGAAGTTGCGTCACTAACATTTTTGTTGTTGAAATAACACCAGGATGCTGAGTAGGAATTGGATTGAAGGTGAGATGGGTGAACTGGAAGCAGGAGCCTAGAGGCAAGAGAGGGTGATGACTGAAATTAGAGGACATGTAAGAAAATTCTCCCCAAACCGAAAACAGGCAGAATTATTGGTCCCATTACTTTACAGTGAAGGTAAAAAGGCAGAGAGAAGTTTACTAAAGAAAGCAGATGTCCTACAATGACTCAGGAGCCAGCAAAGAGGAAATTATCAGAATACTGCACAAAGGGAGTAGTTAGGAGGGGCGAACCAATGGTACTGTTTTAACGACAGACTCTGAAGGGTCATCCATCGAAAGTAGCTCAGCCCTTCAGTCCCGCTGCTAACAGGTGATGAAACCTGATTCATCAAACAGGGTGTCACTGAAGTGAAGCAATGGAGGGTTTTACTCACCCTGAATAAGAAATCACTTCCAGTGCTTGAATTTTAACAGATGATCTTCTCCTCCCATTTGTCACACACGCGCGCGCGCACACACACACACACACACACACACCTTTTTAAGTATATGGCTGCAAGAACTATAGACGAGGTGGGAAGGTGGGAGACCACTAATATATTTGCTGCTGTTATGATTGACTAATTCAATAATTCATTTATTTTACCTTCATTTTCAGTATCCGTAAGAGCTCATTATGGAGTTTTAGAAACTGCAATAGAAACAAAAGCAATGAGTGATACAGGATCTCTTTTCAATGTTCACTGAGCTTAAAATCATAAAATTCCAAGTTTGGAAAGGAGCTATAGACATAATCAAATTCAACGCTCTAAATCATGCATGATATTTTACCATGATTTACCACCAGGTAGCTTGTTGAGAGTTCTTTGTTTCGTGAATCAAAATTTAGTTTCTGAATTTGATCTGGTAAGTTTTTGTCATTTATAATTTTAAAAACTGCAGTCAGTCTCTCTTTCATGCTGTCATACTTTAAGATTTTGAAGACTTCCTCATCCCCTCCTCCATTCTAATCTAGGTTGAATTATCAAGAATTACTTCAGTATTTCCACATATGTCATGAATGTCAAACATCCCACCAGCCTACAAACTTTTATCATTGTGCATCCTACATTTGTTACTCTTTCTTTAATTATGTAAAGGGAACTGAATATAATATCTCAGGTGTGGCCAGAGTAGCTCCAGTTCAGGTATCCCCTTGATTCAATTGCTCAAGAAATTTTACTTCTAGGATTCCCATTTGGGGCAATATGGCAAAAAAGGTACTTTGAAAGACCCACTATTACCTTACAATTATATTCCAGATAAATTACAGGATGATTTTTTATAATGTGAGTGAAATGCCCAGTTTAAAGCATAGAAAAACTGCCAGAATAACCCTCCCCCCAAAAATAGAAAAAAAAAAAGATGTAAAATATAGTAGAATAAATTAATAAAAATAGCAAATAATGCTAAAATAAAGACATTCAACACAGGTAAAATGTATTCTTGTGAAAGACTAAAAAATAGCTAAAACTTTGCCAGAACTAACCAAGAAAAGTAGAGAAAATATACACACAGGGATTAAAATTATAATAACAAAAGTATGTGAACATCTTTATAACAATAAATTTGAAAACTTAACAAAGGTGGACACATTCTGCATAAATACAACACATAAAAACTGAACAAGAAGAACTAGAGAGTCTGAAGAGTCCTATAACCAATAATTAAAATACAGAGTGAGCAGTTAAAAATCTTCCTCCAAAGAAAAGATTTAGATTAGACAGTTTCACAGAAGTTTCTAATACCAGTCATATTAGAAAGGAAAAATATAAACTAATCTCAGTAAACTTAGATTTATAACTTCTATACCAGGGGCACCTGGGTGGCTCGGTCGTTTGAACATCTGACTTTGGCTCAGGTTCTCGTGGTTCACAAGTTAGAGCCACATGTTGGGCTCTGTGCTGACAGCTCAGAGCCTGGAGCCTGCTTCAGATTCTGTCTCCCTTTCTCTCTCTGTCCCTCCCTAACTCATGCTCTTGCTCTCTCTCTCTCTCTCTCTCAAAAATAAAATAAACATTAAAATTTTTTAAAAAAATATAAATAAATAAAACTTCTGAAACAAATACTAATAAAAAGAATTCAGAAGTATGTGATAAAGGTAAATACACTATAGTCTAATTGATTTTATCTTAGGTGACAAAGGGTGATACATTCTTAGAAAATGTATAAATTAATTTACTCCATTCATAGATAAAGAGACAACAAATATATAATCATCTCAATAAACACATAAAAATGCATTATGATAAAATTAAACACTATAAGAAAAAATTTTGGCAAGTCAGAGAGGGAAACTTTCTAAACTTGTGCAAAGATATCTACTCCCCTCTCCCCCCACACACCCCAAATGTCCAGTGGGCAGCTGAATATGAAGAACTGGAGCTTATAAAGGAAAGATGAAGATACTGACTTGTAGTCATTTGGGCAGAAGTGATTTTTAACTACACAAGAATGAATGCATTCCAGGACAAATCCAACATCACACTGATTTCAACATCAATTAAAATCCCCAAATGCTCTCCACACTTGATAGTTTTTAGGCTTTTCTTTTGTTCCTCCAGATGTTTATCCTAAACTTCTCTGACTTTCAGAAAAGAAAACGCCAGGGAAACTCATACCTTGAGGGCTACTTCTGATCTCACTGTCACAGACTTCCTTCCAGACAAGAGAGTACGAGCCTGGCTACTTGCTTTAAAAAAGAAATAGAAAGACAAGGACATTCTGTGAGAAAGAACAAAAATAATATCTCAGAAAGTAGGCTACATTAGGAATTGGAGTTAGACACTTTAGGAAATGAAGAGCAATTAAAATTTTGCTTTTTTTGTGCCTGGGTGGTTCAGTTGGTTAAACATCTGACTCTTGATTCAGCTTAGGTCATGATCCCAGGGTGGTGAGAATGAGTCCTGCATTGGGCTCCACACTGGGCATGGAATCTGCTTAGGATTCTCTCTCTCTCTCTCTCTCTCTCTCTCTCTCTCTCTCCCACCCTCCTTCCCTTCCTCCCCAGCTTTTTGTTATGTTCTCTCATACAAAAAACCCCCTCCATGTGCTGTCTGACCAAGATCTAAGCCACCAAAATTATACAAACACTGGAGGCAGTTTTAGGACTGCACATAAAATAAAGAAAAAAAAAAAAAAAAAAAAAAAAAAGCTTGTTTAAATTTTTTTAACAAAGTGGTATTATGGAAGTAAAATCTTAGGAAAATTCATTTAAAAGAATGGAGGAGATGGAATCCAGAGGTGAGGAGATTAGTATATTATAATAAAGAAGTGAGTATAAATATAAATAAATATAAATATAAATAGCATTTTCCAGCTTGTTTCCTACCTTATAAACATTTTGTTTTGTCTCTAGTCATTCACACTTTTGCAGTTGTCAGAGCATTAAAAATAATAGAGGAAGTTGGTTTATCCCAAGTCATTGGATGTGATGGTTAATTTTATATCAACTTGACTGGCCATGAGGTGCCTGGATTAGATGTTATATCTGATTGTGTCTGTGAAGATAATTCCAGTTGAGGTTAGCATTTGAATCAGTGATTCTGTAGAGTAGATGATTCTACCCGATTTGTGTTGGTACCATCCAATCTATTAAGGGCTTGAATAGAACAAAAGACAGAAGAAAGAGGAATCTATCCTTCATTTTTTATTATTTTCATTTTTAGCCTTACTGCTCGAGCAGGAATATCTCATCCTATCTTCTGCCCTCAGATGGGGATTTAAACCATTGACTGATTTCCATATTTCTTAGGCTTTAGGACTGGTTTTCCTGGGTCTCCAGCTTGCCGACAGAAGATTTTTATGAGTGAATTCATCATAATAAATATAAATAAATAGATAAACATAAATACGTGAGTGCATAAATATTGGTTCTATTTCTCTGGAGCACTCTGGCGAGATACACTAGCCAATCCTGCAGAAATGCAATGGTGATAGATGATGAAGGAAGGCATAGGCATTGCTTGGAGTGGGAATGTGAACGTTGTAGAGCAGCAATGAGAAAAGAATTTAAGAGAAACTTCTACAACTTAGAACTGAATAATACATCCAGAATGTGAAACCTTAGTCTCTGACTTTTAAAAAGTATTTTTCATTTTTCTGTAAAAGTTTCCCAAATATCAGCTTCATATCTGTTAGAAACCTTCCTACCTATACAAAGCCCAAATAATAATTTTATTCTTTAATATTTATTTATTTATTTATTATTTATTTATTTAGTAAATGGTTCCTCTTATTGTGGAAAACAAATTGTGAAAGTGATACCTTGTGCAATGTCTTTCAAGTTTACATATGATAGCTTTGGAATGAAGTCTTACATATACTTAAGTCTTAATATACTAAAGGAATCTTTCAAATCCCCCATCTCCGATGATGGTATACACATCCTCCAGAACCCTGCAAGGTTCAAAATCCCGCTTGAAATTTCTTCTTTCCTATGTGCATCACATGGAATCAGTACACACAAATCCTCCTAGGTTTCCCCCCCGTGTTCCTCCAATTTGCCCATTCTTTTTATTACCACAGCACTCCCACATTTCTTAATTCATGTCTGGATTCCTGCAACCATTTCCTGGCTTGTTCTCCCTGGGATCTCTCCATCCTAACCATACATGACAGACGGCCAGCTGGAATACATTGTTCAATTTCCTTTTCCAAAAACCAATCTTCATGCATTCCTGTGGACCAAGATCTGAAGCCTTCTAGCAAATGACTCCTTCTTATCTACCCAGAATCACCCCTGTCTTCTTCCTCAAAAGAGTCTTTCCATTCCAGGAAATGAAATCCAATCTGCTTGCTGCTCTTAACTTGTTAACTCCCACATCTGTGCCTTCTTCCTTCATAACAACACCTTCTTCACTTTCTGACAATATGTTTTTATCTGCCTTCAAAATCCATCTGCAGGAAGACTTTCCTGACTCCTTTTGTGTCAGCTAAACACTGCCAGCACTCTGCATCTCCTGTGCGTGTACAAGCATGGACACACACATGCATACTACTATTTATATGTTGACTTGCTATTTCCCTTTAGTTGCTTCATTTGGGTCTCTGTGAATCTTAAAAAAAAATCTTTTCTTAGGTTATTTTATTATTATTAATATTTTAGATTTCATTTTTAAATAATCTCATAACCTTTATACCCAACATGGGGCTCGAACTTGCAACTCCATATGCTCTACTGACTAAGCCAGCCAGGTGCCCCTTGCCAGTATTTTTAGTAGAAGTTTCACTCAATAGGAATTCAAGGCTGAGATAGATAGTTATTATAATAGATGAAAATTTAGGACTGAATACCATTTCAACAGGATAAGAAAAATGGCAAGGCTTCTAAGAGATTAAGTTAGCGGGAAGAGATGGAAGGGCTGCACTTGGGAAGTAGTGAGGACAACACGGGTGTCGTCAGCAAACACGGAGCACCCTTGGCAGGTCTGTTTGTCAACTTTCCTTACCTAGAAAATAGAGGTTCAGGCAGGTAATCCCTCGTATTTGTTTCAACTCCAATCTTCTATGTAAAAGGTGAAGAATGTGTCTTCAGTGATGTTTTCCATGGGAAAAATTATGGCCCCAGTAAGGACCCATACTCTAATCCCTGGGATTGTGACTGGGTTTCTTACACGGCAAAAAGAACTTTGAAAATGTAATTAATATTACCAACAAAAAGACCTTAAAATAGGATGATTATCCTGGATTATCCAGTTGGGCCCAATGTAGTCACAGGAGCCATTAAAAGCAGAAGAGGAAGTCAGAGATTAGAAGCATGGGAAGGACTCTACCTACCCATTGCTAGTTCAAAGATGAAGAAGGCCACACGGAAAGCATAGAAGGAAATAAATTTTCCATAGACAGGAAACTTCAAAGACATTCCTAAGCCCCAGATGAGAACCACAGTCCACGACATACCTTGATTACAGCATATTACTCTGAACACTCTCAGCCATGCTGTGCTGAATTTCTTACCTATAGAACTATGAGGTAATAAATTTGTGTAATTTTAAGCTGCTAAATTTGTTACAACAGCGATGAAAAAATTATGTACTAAGAACAGAATAATGCATTTGTTTTCCTAAACCATATTGTAACCAATATAGGGTAATCTTGAGATGTCCAGAGGGAAGCTGGACATAAAAAACTGAAGCTCATAAGAGAGAACAAAGCTGGAGATACTGACTTTAAGTCATCTCAACACAAGCAATTGTCGACTGTATAAAAATAGATATACTTACTAAAACATTTGAGTAAAGCTAGGGGAAAAGAAGCACTTAGGAATAAGTCTTTAGGAATGTCCACATTTCAGCAATGGAAAAATAAAAGAGACATAATTAAAGATACAGAAAAGTAATGGTGAGATACTAAGTTGTGAACAGAAAGTAAGTGTATATTATATATGTAATATAACATATATACATATAATATACATTATATATAATCTATATGTATATATGTATGGAACAAAGGCAGAGGAGTTTTAGAAAGAAGAGGTAGTCACACCAGATCACTCTCATCATTTCAGTAAAGCAGGAAGTTAAATCAGTTCAAAGTGGCACTTATTGGAACACTGACAAGAAAGTTCTGCAATAGTCTTTGTAGGCACTGTTCTAGAACATCTATTAGAGATAAAGTAAGGGTGCCTGACCGGCAGTAGGGCCAGAATGATTTCATGGTGGGTGAGGAGTATAATAGTGTTTGCATCTTCTTCTGGGATACACTGTGATTTAGAACCAGGAGAGCCATTTGTGACAGGTGATTGTGTTCCAAGCCTGGGCAGTGGTACACTGTGTACAACAGAAGATCAATGAAGGAACGTGCAACTAGAACAGTGGCTAGCACAGAGAGGAGGTTTTGAAGAGCTCTCAGTACAATAAGGAGCAGACCGTACACCTGCCACGTAACTGAGATCCCTATAGGAGGGCTAAAAAGGCTTTGCTGTGCTGGAGAATAAAAGGTGGCCAGCAGCCTGGCTTTCTGACTGCAGCACTTTTCCTTACCGATCATCATATTCAATCTTGTCAACTTTAGAAAAGGCACTATTTATGTTCATTTTCCAGATACAAAAATAGAAACTCAGAAGTTTATGTGGCTTACCCAAGATCACATAGCAGGTCAGAAGCTGAACTTGAGTCCGGAAGCTTTGCATCTGCCTCTGAATTCTGCCAGAGGTTACATGTCCAGAAAATGCTACGGCAGGGGCCAAAACCTAATTCCAAGGCCTATGCCCTCACCAAATGATCTCATAGTCTTTCAAAATCATGCACTTGACTTGTTCTTTAATGAACATTTTTATATGCATTGCTCATTTTATTCCCCTGGCAAAACTGTGTTGGAGGGTGGATGAAGATTTTATTCCCGTTATATAGATAAGGAAACTGAGGCTTAGAGAACATAAGAGAACTAACCAAATAGCATAGCTAATCAAAGAGAGTTATACTAGCTTTAACCCTTCTACCAGAATTTTTTTCACTAAATGCCAGATACCTTTTTTTCATTTTTTCCCTTAATTGTTTTAGCCTCCTTCCCTGTCCTAGAAGATACATTTCATGTACGTAAAATCCCAGCACCACTTTACCCAATCAGAAGGAAGACAAATGACACAGCCAGCATTCTGTCTCCTACCTGAGCTCAGAAGGCAGTATGCACTCTCAGAGAGGACCTTCTTTGGAATGAAAAGTGGGATTTGGGTATGTCCTTCCTCATACTATTTCTTTTTGTTTTGTTTTGTTTTGCTTTGCTTTGCTTTTTATAAGAGAGAGAAAGAGAGGGCGGGGGGAGGGAGGGAGAGAGCACACTCATGCACAACATGCTAGAGAGGACCAGAGGGAGAGAGAAAGACTAAGAGAGAGAAGCCTAAGCAGGCTCCACAATCAGAGCAGAGCCCGATGAGGAGATTGATCTCATGACCCTGGGATCGTGACCTGAGCCAAAATCAAGAGTTGGACATTCAGTGTTGTAAGAAACCAACTGGAGAATAAACTATGTATAAAATTAAAAAAAAAAAAAGAGTTGGACATTCAGCCACGCAGGCACCCCACACTATTACAAATCATATGGAACTGATGCAGGACAGTAGGGATACTTTCAGAAGACTGACAGCTGATGTAAAAAAGCTAAGTTAATTTGCATGTGAAATGACAGAACACCTTAAAGAACATGAAACATTTGGAAAAAGAAAATAAGAAATAATAGATGTCTTGGAAAAGAAAAGGAAATGGAAAAGAGAAAATGGGATAAAGAAATAGAAAAGCAAAGAAAAAAGAGGAAAAAATTGGAGCATATCACAAGGAAATCAATTCTATGAAAACAGCTAAATAATGATAATAGTAATAGCAGGCTTTTAAACTGCAGGCTAAAAGGAAGATATGCTGCTCCCCTTCCATTCTATTCCCTCTTTTCACTTAGCAGAGAATTTGTTAGGTAATATACAACCAAAAAAGATAAACTAAGGTCTACCTGATCTTAGGATATTTCTTTATTCCCAAATTTCCATACAATATGAATGTAAACACATAAACATGCATATTTATTATATACTGTATCCTTTCTCTTGATCTAACTCTCTTCCTTCAGGAACCTGATGAAATGAGGCTATGGGAGTAGGAGGCCCGTTGAAAGTTAGTTGGTATCATTAGTCACTATATTAATGAGGCCAGGAGATGCCACAGCACAGCCTGGGGGAATAAAAAGCCTCAATAATGTCCAGGACCACACTGGCCATTTCTGGCCTTTGAAAAATACAATGAATCAGAGGCAACATCTAACACTCCATTGGATTTCAGTAACTTTAATTTAGGTAATGAGCAAATAATGTTAAGCATTCCTCTTTGCATTTAGTCAGTGAACTGATTTAAAATAGGGGCAATTCTTCCCCCAAATACACTTAAAGATAATTTGCTTTCCTGGACCTCACTGGGTTCCCTTAGGAAAGAGGTTTCACCTTCTGTGGTAAGAGCCTTAATTGTGAGATGGAGGCTCCCTCTACTGGACCTATGGTTAATTGCAGATGTAAGTTTTAACCTGCTTTGAGTTAGCTAATTCCTTGTGACTGGTATATGATTATGGCTAATGAAGTGAGCAACAAGGATAATGTCTAATTAACATGCACACACACAGCATCTTCTCTGAAAGTCTAGAAAGCAACAATCTCTCATGAATAATTTAGTATTTATTCTCTATCTTCTTTGTGCTTGCTCACTGTAGATGTCTAAGTGGATTTTTTTTTCTTATTTCTGAAACCAGATTGTAAAATTTAAGGATTGAGATTTTATGTTATACTGACCCATGTTCAATTACAATTATCCACTTGCTAGATTGAAAGCATGGTTTATACACATACTATTTGTATTACTTTGGATAAATTAATTTCTTAGAACCTTGGTTTCTTGATGTTAAGAAAATAAAGAAAATAATAGACTTGCCTAGGTTTGAGAGAATGAAAAAGAAGTATAAGTCAGCATATAACTTTTTTTAGCATGGCAGAACATGATTCTTTAAATAGTTAATAAATGCTAATTTCATGTTCATTCTTTGACTTCCTCTTGTAGCTAGGTCAATGTATTTAACTAGAAACATGTGACTCCTCATAACTAAAACAGAGTTGATTTTGTATTAATACTGCTAACGTCTACCCAAATGAGCAAATATCTATTTGGTATCTTCTCTGACAAGGCAATATGCTAGGAACATAGGCTGTCAGAATGAATGAGGTAACACTGCAGGTTTCTTTTCTGCAGGAACATACGGAGAGAAAGGTCTGTTTTCTGCCTCTGTCTCTGTTCTTGCTCTGAGGCATCCTAGTAACGCTCATTGTAATTGCTCAATAGACGATTATTGAAATAATCTTTAGCCATCTATCCTGGTCTCCACCTTCCCTTTTGTGAAGTATAAAATACACATACTTCCTATTCAGGACGGCCTGCCATTGAACACATGCTTATTTTTCTACTCCACATCTATTTTTCCCCCACTTCCTTCTCTCAACCTTTTGAATACACTCTAACAGAGCTGCTTTCTAATTTTTTATCTTGCATGCTAAGCTTTCGACATATATACCACTGTTAATCTATATAGTTTATTGTTAATGTTTTCCCCTTTTGGAGTATCTTATTCTACAACAAAGACCATTACATACCAACATAGAGAAGTAAATACGTGAGGCTAACGCTCACTTGAACCTAAAGAACACAGTTCATTCTCTTAAACCTGTCTTGAACAAACAGCACCAAATACAACTAAATCCATGAGAAAGAAATAAGAAATCTCTGGATTAGCGTGTCAACACTGGGGCTTGAGAGTTTGTAACATTTGGAGTAATCAAAAGCATGGCATATAAGTTTGATACACATTTCATTCCTAGTAACTTTCTTGAAGATATAACTTGAACTGCACCTTAGAAATGGACCCTCTATGAATATATTGTAAAAACAAGACAATAAAGCGAAATAAAAATTAAGATACAGACTCTCAATAGCCCTTTGTCCACAAAAGCCCTTAACAAATCAAATAGGTTTGTGTGATGGACTAAATGTTTGCTTCCCGCCAAATTTATGTATTGAAATCCTAACCTTCCATGTGTATCAGGAGGTGGTGTCTTTGGGAGGTTATTAGATCATGAGTTGGAGCACTCATGAATGGGGTCAGTGCCCTTACAGAAAAGACCTCAGAGGCTCCCTTGATGCTTTTAACATGTAAGACCTCAGCAAGAAGATAGCCATATGAGCCAGAAATGAGTCCTCACCAAACACTAACTTGGCCAGCACCTTGATCTTAGCCTTCCCATTTTCCAGAACTGTGAGAAATAAATGTTTGCAGTTTAAGCCATCCCATATAGGATAGTTTTGCCATAGCAGCCTGGATGGGCTATGATAGTCTCTTTCCTTGGAGCTTCAAACATGATAATATGAATTATGACTCTTCAGGAGAGGTCAAATATAATAATTATTAATTTAATAAATCCCAGAGCCATTTTTATTTTACACTTCATCTCACTTGAGTTGGATTTTCTTCCTTGCTAACATAAATCTCTCTAGAAATTACATGTTAAATGCTGTCTTGCAGATTGGACCATAAGCTTCCTCAGGGTAGGGAAGGTATTGGTTTTGATCACTAAGGCACCCCGATACTTATTACAATGCCTAATATACAGCAGTCACACAATCCATATTTGTTGAATTAAACTAAACAGAGCATCTTTCCTTAAAAGATTTTTTAACACAGACAGAGTTGCATGAATGTATTAAAAGCAAGAGTTTGAAACAAACCAGTATAAGCCTCTAGGGTTTTAGGATAATTTGAATGTATAGAAGTTATTAAGATTTGGTTTAAATATGATGGCATTGATGTGGGGATGGGGGAAAGAATCTGCTACTGTAATGATTTTCTGCCATTCACTCCCTAATATCTTTCTCCTTACAGCTCTTTGAGTTTTTATATTTGTATTTTCTTAGTCACATGTAATAACTAAAAGAGAACAATTGAGTCGGACATCTTCTGTCATAGTTAGAATTTCAGCACAGACATGCTTTATAAATGGATCCCGATAAAGAAGAAAAGGATTCAAGCCCACAGTCACTATTAATATCCATCTAAGTCTTTACCTAGCTGGTACTTCTGTAGATTGACTATGTGTCTCTTCTGATGTATCTACCTGGTAACCTTCTTTGACTGGAAACTATTATATTTTCTGGCATTTTATCACTGTACAGAAGTCACAAAGTATCTTCTTCACTTCCTTCTCACCCTAACAAGAATAAGATTTGGAACCTAGAGAATCGAGGAAGGGGCCAGGCACCCCCCAAGAATACCTGCCATGAGAAATTGTGAATAATTCAAAGATCCAGGTAGGATGAAGGACATGGCTGACATAGCAAAGCTGAGAACCAGAAACCAGTCTAGGAGCCATGTGAAGTCCCAAGGTTAGTAGTGACAGTGCAGGATGCAGTGCCCACCACACAGCAATGAACATGAAAAGACTGGTTCTAAGTTGGGGCACAGTGAATAGAACAAAATAAAATAAAATAAATAAAATCTCATATCCATTTTTGGATTGCCAATGACATCTTACTGGTCTTTTCACTATTATGTTACTTTCCTGCTCATAGTTTTACCCTCCCAACCTTCATTCATTATCTTCTGCATTTTATGTCTGTCTGTCTGTCTGTCTGTCTCTCACGCATCTGTGTGAATAGTGATGTATAAAAATTAATTAGAAGAACTCTTAGACGACAGCTTCTGGTAATTAGAAAATAAAGGATATGAACATACAAGAGAGGCATCATTATAGGTTGTTTTATTAACCATGAGAATTCCATCAGCATCACTGAGAAATAATATGAAACAGAAGAAGGAAAATGGTAGAGTTGCATCAAGGAGAAAAACATATTCCCTTTATTTCCTATCAAAGGCATTGTTTGAAAGTATATAACACTCTCAGAATTACACAGAGCATCTAGCCATCTCTCTACAGTGGAAATTTTTAATCATCTAGCTAGTTTTGAGCACTGAAACTCCTGTAGTTTATATGGTTTGTGTTGGGGGTAGATATTAAAGGAGATTTACCTATAAATTACAGCTGGGTCTCTGTATCCAAGTGGACATGTCACATAAAAACTAAAAATACAAATTGGAACCCAGAAGGTTGCTGAGGGAGCAAATGCAATGTCTTGGCTTACATGTGACCCATGAAACCAGACAGGTGGGTGAGATGGCCTGAGAATAGGAAAGAGAATCCTACATTGAGGTCTGAGGCACTGCAACGTGTACAAGTTAGGAGGAGACAAGGAGCCAGCAAAGGAAACCAAGGAACAGACAGAAATGTGGGAATAAAAGTCAAGAGAAACCAGTCTCATGGAATCCAAAGGAATACAATCCATGAAACTGAAAACTGCTTGGAGGTAAAACAAAATGAGGTTTGAAAAGTACTGAATTTGGCAACATGTTGGTCACTGGTGCATTTAGCAAGAAACATGCCAGTGGAATGGTGGTAGGTATGAGCCAGGTTGGAGAGGGACAATGAGAGAAGGGAGAAGATTACTCAAAACTTGACTTTAAAATGATATGAAAATATATTGACAATAAAGGATAGGGAGTGAGAGAATAGGAGACCACATGGGCTTTTGTGAAGGGCAATAAAAAGATGGGACTGAGGGCATAGTGTTATTGTATTAAGGCTTCTTGTTTATTTGCCTTGTTAGAGTTTAAGTGCTAATGACAAGAATTAGTAAAAAGAGAATAAAAGTATGGTTTAAAAAGAGATTTAGGAGGTTCCTGGATGGCTCAGTTGGTTAAAGATCCTACTCTTGATTTCTGTCAGCTCAGGTTATGATCTCACGGTGCCCCTTCTCTGCTCGCTCACAATCTCTGTTCTCTCTCCCTCCTTACCTCTCTGCCTCTCTGCCTCTCTCTCTCTCTCTCTCTCTCTCTCTCTCTCTCTCTCTCTCTCGGCCTCTAAATAAACAAAGGAACATAAAAAATAAAATAAAGAGGTTAGGAGATTGTGTGTGTGTGTGTGTGTGTGTGTGTGTGTGTGTGTGTGTGTAAGAATGGGGTAATCATTCAGAAAATTTGGAGAGATTCACCCTTGGTAAGAGAAAGGACGCAAACTTAGTAGCAACTAGAGAGGAGAGAAATAATGTAATTGTAGGTGAAGGCACATTTAGATTAGGTAATGGGAAGGCAGACAAGGAAATTTGTCCCATTTGCTAGCTTGTATTTTCATTTTGGAAGTAGAAAGAGTGAGGGGTCTCCAGGAAAAAAAAAAAAAAAAAAGCTGAGACAGCTTTTCTGACACAAGAGAAGTCATTTTAGCCCCAGCCATTTTCCCTAATCTACTCCAGATTTGCCCAACCGCACTTCTTGCAGAACTTCCTAGCAGGAGTTAAAACAAAGAAATGCAAAACCCTCAGTAGCTGAGGATTTTAAGGGGAACAAAGGGAATGTAAAAACTAACAGTCTCACCCAGGCGAGATAATCGCCTAATCATATCAGAGACAATAAATCAATGGTAAAACTCCCAGGGCTGTTTCAAAAGTAAAGATTGACCTAACACACATTCCTGATTTGTTTTTGTAGGTTTGAAACCATGCCCCATAGGGTTAAGGAGCTTAAAACTGTCACAGCAAGACCCCTGCCAAATCCCCTTCTTCCTTACAGGAATGTTAACCCTATCTTGGCAAACAATAGGAAGAGCTCCTGGGGAATGAGACCAAGACCAGTTTGAGTTCTAGCACCAACTCACACATGTGCAGATGGACCACAGAGTGTCTACAGTTATGGCTACCTCATTATAATGTTAAAATCTCTGCCAAGGAGGAACACATGCTTGACCGACATAATGATAGGGGAAAACTATATTATAAGGTGGCTGATGGGACTGATAGGGGAATTCCAGTCCCCACCCAAAGGCTCCCCTTCGGGTTTTGGGGTTTGTCTTCCTATCCCACTTGCCACGGGACCCACATTACTACTAATGCGGAATACAGAAGCAACAGACTATAAATTGCCTCCCATGCTTGCACTCAGGGCTCAAACCTCTGGAGAGTGATCTCCCCTGAACCAGCTGGTGTGAAATAAACCTCCTGTTTCCAAGATCTCCAAGTGCCACTTGGTTCTTCTGCCTGGTGATCCAAACCAGTTTCTGTAACAATAACATACCATGCATGTTTAAAAAATGTTTCCTAGGTATGCATGCATGGTTTTATGCCAACCTCTCTAGGAGATGACAAAACTCCCCTTTCTGAATATTCATCCTAACCCTAAATAAAAGAAACCCACTCACCCCCACCTGGGGAGTCATGGTTCTGGAAGTTACTCTCTGAGATCTCCCTGTTTGATGCCAACAAATTTCCCTTCGTATGGCAACTCTATCTCTATCTGTGGTCTCTATTTGTGTATAACTCATCAAGGAGCTTACCTGTAGTCCTTTATACTTACAGAGAGCATTGCTTGGAATAGCACTGTTTTCTCCCATGAAACCCCATTCTGCAACTTCAGTATTCAATGCCATGTGAATAAACAATATAAACATACTGGAAATGTTAAATGTCTGGGATGTGTGTCATTTCAGAGCTTTGTTTTTATCATGTCATCAAAAGATATAGCACCGAAAAGGGAAAAAAGTCACAATAAATGTTTTAAAATATTTAACAGCTACAATGCAGAAAAGTTTTCTGAGCTTTTCATAATATTTATCTTTGAGTTCAGTCTACCCCCTGAACAGTTTCCCAGCACTGTGTCCGGGTCTCTTTCAGAAGTATTGTTAGATTCTATTAGAGTAGGCACCAGTTAATCATACTGCTCCTTGGTTTAAGCAAAATAATAGCATACAGCGTGTGTGCATGTGCCCACATATATGTGTGTATATATATGTTCTCAGCTTTGTTCAATTTTTCTTAACTCATGATTACCATCCATTTACTCAAAAAGAAAAAAGTCATGCTACTGCTTGTAATGCTTACAATGTGGAAGTGGAGTTGGTTATTGTTAAAGCTTTTTTACATTTTTATGTTTGACAATATCATCTCCTTAAATCAGATGATTAAAATATGGTTCAAAATATTTAATATTTCTATAAATAAAATTTAATGCAAGAGTCATGGTATCATTGAAGATTCAACTTTGAGTGTTGCTTAATGTCTAGAATTCTGTTTAAAGTTAAATATTAAGAATCAGTTCAGGAATAGAAAAACCATCTAAATCTCACATTTATAGACAATTCTGGTAAGGGTGGTAATAGTGAGGATGCTGACAGACATCTACTGTTAGTGATGATCATACATATGATGGAGACTCAGAAGAAACAGTTTTTCCAAACACTCTCAAAATATGACCAATATACTGAAGGACACTTTTCTTTCACATCCAACCTACAATCTCCAAGCAAACGAGACAGAAAAAGGAAGTGAAGCCCCTTCCCCTGCTCTGCAGATTTATAGATAAGAAAATATTTCCACACTGCTAACAATGGACTATCAACTGGACCAACCAGTAAAGGATACTTTTTCTAGATCACAAACACAGCTCATGGAAGAAAGATGCTTTGGCTTTTGATTTAATATATCATTCTCTAGAAAGGCTGCCCTATGTGCTACCAAGGGTGTACAACTGCGGATCTTTCATTGTGAAAATATAGGAAATAAGTGAATGACAGAAAAAGTCAGCTAATGACAGAAATATTTCCAGGAAGGACATTAATGGGTCAAAACTTAGAATAAGTCCTGAAATAAAACAGTGTCAATATCTATACCTATAGAGAGTAGATTGAGAGTCTAGACACTGCCATTTTAGATGATGAAATGAGAATAATAAATTATCTGCAAAAATGGAATTAAGACATTTATATTGGAAACATTAGAATTTTAATGTCCAGTGACAAGAAAAAAAAAAAAGATGAGATTGTGGAATATTTGCTCTATGGAATGTTATACACTGATAAGAAGTGAACAAATATAATGCTAAGTGAAAAGAGAAAGTCCTATAAAACAACATATATTTAATATTATTTTACAAAGCATAAGGACATATAAAAAATGTAACTTATTATTTCAGCATATATATGCAAACACATATTATGTATCTGTGTATGTAAATTGCTATTTTACATATACCTGGTATATACACACCCATTTTATCAAAACGTAAATAGAAAATTTAGAATAATGGTTACCTACTTCTGAGGAGGGAAAAGAGGATGAAATAGAAAAGGAGCATATTGATAGATGCAGATTTGGGCAATATCCCAGTCCTTAGGTTGGCTACTCATTACAAATTTTTACTCTTGTGTGTGTGTGTGTGTGATATGTGTGTATAAATATAAATGTGCATGTATCCATAATTATTATTTAAACAAAAATTAAAACAAAAGTAAAGTCTCAGCATTAAAATGTATTGTTTCTTCAAAATATGAAAACGAGGTATGTTATAACTAGTCATAATTCCCAGTAACTGAGGATTTATAGTATAGGAAAAAAATCAATCAATAACCATGTTGTATCTGGCAGGTAGCATTCATGCCCCAATCTGTGTTTTGTATTGCTTACTTGACATCTTTTCCTAAATGTCTATAATAAATATCCAATATGCAATATTTTGTACAATACTACAGAAATACTCACTTCATTTTTTTTCCTGATTAAGGATCAGGCAATGTAGATGTTGACATAAAATATTCCTATCACAAACCATTTATGTAGTAATATTACATATTTCAGATTAAGCCATCATACTGTTGTGAAGCTACTGAATTTCTTCACTGTTTTCTAAAACAAACAAACAAATAAAAAAACCCATCTGGTTCCTCACAAGTAGTATATATACATATATATATGTATATATAAATATAAATATATAAAATATATAAAATACATATAAATAAAAATATCTAAAATTTAAATATAAATTTATAAAAGTATATGTATATATATGTCCAGTTTATCTGAACTCTTAGATTACTGGATTATATTATATACTATATACTATATTGTATAGTATGTACATGTATATACTATATTGTATAGTATGTAGTATATAGTATATAATATAATCCAGTAATCTAAATTAAGAGTTCAGATAAACTGGACTCTGCTGCTATTATGACTCAGAAATTCCAGCTACTCTTAATAACATCAAGGGATGCTAACCAAATGTGCACTTTTCAATGCTTCCTCACCACCACCAAAAATTCTATCTGTAGGCTTTTATAAATTGTTGCACAAATTCTTCTGGGAGACTCATGATAACTATCATTGCTTCTGTAGTTACAAATCTACTACATAGATTTCAACCAAAAGATACATGTATCAAAAAACCACTTCTCTTCTACAAAAACCCCTGACCCAATTATCAAGGAAGACTATGTTTCCCTAAGTGGGGCATTAGGCATAAAAGAAACTTCCTCAAGTCTTTTAAGCTCCTAGTGTAGTAGCTGTCAAAAATTGGGGGGGGGGGAGGGGAATCTCATGCTATATCTGAGAACATTCTATACTTATCTTCTCAGTAAAATGTATATATATATATATCTCCATATGCACCAAATATACCTTCATTTTCAGGAGCTTATGTGTTTCTGAAGCTTATTCATAAACTAAGGGTCTGTGGCTTTATATAGTTGTGGATAGCCAGCCTCATGTCCACATTTTCTTTGAGTCAACATGAGTAATAAAGGTGAGACGTGGATTATTTACCATCAGTTGTTTGAATTACTAAAACAAAGTCGTATCTGGTCCCTCTGTCTGGATTCCCAAGAAACTCTGTCCTCTATACTGCCTTAGTAATTATCTCTTGAAAACAAAGATTCAATCATTTAACACCCACCACTTGCTACTGAAAAAAATTTAAGGGCACTTGGGTGGCTCAGCTGATTGAGCATGGACTTCAGCTGAGGTCATGATCTTGCAATTTGTGAGTTGAAGGCCTGCAAAGGGCTGTCTGCTGTCAAAACAGAGCCAGCTGCTTCAGATCCTCTGTCTCTCCCCTGTTCATGCTCGCCTTCGCTCTCTCAAAAATAAATATTTGTTTATTTATTTTTAATTTTTTAAGTGCTTTATTTATTTTTTAGAGATAGACAGTGTGAGCAGGGGAGAGTCAGAGAGATAGGGAGACACAATCCAAAGATAGGCTCCAGGCTCTGAGCTGTCAGCACAAAGCCCGATACGGGGCTCAAATCCATGAACCATTAGATCATGACCTGAGCTGAAGCCAGATGCTCAACCGACTGAGCCACCCAGGCACCCCAAAAATAAATAGTTTAAAAAAAATTTAAACTTTTTATCATCATTAAGAAAAACAAAAAACAACTTATGTAAGACCCTTAGTGATAGAGCCCCCACTATCTTTTGTGTTTTCTCTTCCACTATGTCTGTCAGACCCTATGTGCCCTGCACTTTGCCAATCGATCTCATACTCTAAGTGTTTGTATATCTGTTCTCTCTGTCTGGAATATCATCCTATGGCTTTATTCTCAAATAAATAATTATAAATCATCCACTTTTTTTGAGACTTGGTGTGGGTTTCACCTCTTTCACAGAGGCTTCTTTAGCCACCCCCCATGCTCTGTTGAAGGCCCTTCTATGTAGTGCCCAAATAAACCTATGCAACCCACCATTATAATATTTATCAAACTGCCTTATTACACTAGTCTCCCTCTGCAGGTTGAGAGGTTTTTAATAGCATGAACTGGATATTTGTTGCTTAATCTACATTGACTTCAAAGGTATGCTAGATAGTGTAAAAAAAAAACAATTCTTACATGGAAAGAATAAATGAAAAAAAACTAGCTTTTGGGAACAATGTAGATTTTATAGGAAGATGAACTGAACTGGTTATCTGAAGACTTTTTCTAGTGTGGTATTTGTTCCTAATTCACTACAAACCCTTGAGAAAGCCTATTTTTTTCCCCAAGTTTTCTTTTCCTTTATGGAAAAATGACATGGTTGGACTAGATGCTCTCAAAGGCCCCTCTCAATTCTAAATTTCAATTTTTTTAAGTTTTTAAGTTAGAAGAAAGTAGGCAGAGGAGGGAAATGTC